GGAGAAATGCTCATTTTGGAGTGTTTTCCCCAACCTCAAAAGCAAATTCCTTCAGGTTCCTCCCGGCCATGCCAACTCCTCCCTCGTCCCCACACAGCCTCCCGACAGAGGACTGCCAGCCTGCCTGGATTGCTCGGGCATCGAGGTGACAGCCACCAGGCCTGAGACAGCTGCTGACACTTGGGGTTTTTGAAGAAATGAAGGGCAAGAAGCTGTTGATTTCTTGGTGAAAGTATTTTCTTGCTCTAACTCATGTTCTTATGTCACTGGGCTGAGAGAGAGAAAGAGGGGGGAGAGAGAAAGAAAGGAGAGAGAGAGAAAGAGAGAGAGAAGAGAAGAGGAGAGAAGAGAAGAGATATGACTTTCCTTGAATGATCTGTTTAACCTAAGCCAGAGGAAAAAAAAGAAAGTCATTAATTACTTATGTGAGCTATTGCTTCAGAAAGACAATAAACCTGCCCGGTCGCCATGGATATGACATATTTGCTCTGAAAACAACACAATAATTAGCAAAGGGGAAAGATACAAGGAGAATATGCAAACTCCTGAGTTTAAAGCCACAGTGCTCTTTTTACTCCTAAGCCTCTGCTGTTTGCAATCCAAATCAAACAAAAAATTTAAAATACAGCAAAGAGGGAAATAATAGGAATGGCTCCTCTCTCATTTGAGCTGAAAAGCAACAACACTCCACCCCCCCCAAAGTAAAATAGTATAAAAAAGAAGGGGGGGGTCAAGTATTGCCTCTCCTTTATTTCCCACTGCAGGGGTGGAGTCTTGAGTGGTGTTTTTTGTTTTGTTTTTTTTTTAAGTGTGCTCTTATTTAGCACTGGACCTTCTGGCCAGATATAAATTTATTTATGAAAGCCAAATGCCCTGTGTATGGCTCACCCCTCCCCAAAGTAAATGGAAAAGTGAAAGGGGGGGGCTCTGGTTGAAGAAGCAAAGATGCCTACTCAAAAGCCCCAGCTCTGCAGAGAGACCTACACTCCCCCTACCTCTAAGAAAATGGAACCTGGGCCTTACTTTAATATTAAAAATGCATTCAATGGTCTTACCTACAACTTAGTTCCAGAAGATCATTAGGAAATGCAATGGCTTTGGATCATATCTGTCAGCACGATAAATATCTGAGCCAGAGTAGGATCGCAATTTTTCAGAGTGTCATAAACCAAGATAATTTTTTTTCTGCCTTACTTTCTTAATGTACAGTACACCCCACCACCATCACAAAAGCCCCAAGTCTACTGAAAAACACCTGGACAGAGATGAGAAAAGGAGGAAAAGCTGATCCACCTTCATCCCAGATAGAGGTTACTGATATTCTCTTCAATTTAAAATCCTGGAAAATAGGACTTTAAAATATTTGAGTGATTGCCCTCAAAAAAATAAAATAAAGCACTCCATTAAGTTTAAGTAAAAACTCCTTTTCCCTTCTTCCCAGAGGCTAAGTTCCCAAAAACAGATGGTCAGGATCTAAAAGAGAAGCAAATATACCTCAACCCCCACAGGCAGAGAAATCTAACTTTGAACTTTTTTTTTTTAAATTAAAGGGGGGGCAAGATAAACTATTAATAAGTATGAAAAAATGAGCTGAGTTTTGTTTTTCTAATTCAAAAATCCTTTAAACACAAGGGGAGCAGATATAAAGGGGAGGTCCATATTTAACTGACTTTCCTATTTTTTTAAACAATAGTTGGGTTTTTTAGATTGAACCCTTTGATCTTGAAAGAATTTTGCTCTTCTATGATAGGGGGGAAGGGGGTGGTGGTGAAATGATCTGTTTTAAATGATGATGCAACTTAGGGATCAAAGCCTGCGCTTTCTGCTAGCCATAATAAGCTGTACTTGCCACAAAACGTCAGTCTCCCGGGCTCCTCTCCTTCGTAAGAGGGAAATAAAATGTGCCGAGACTCAGACTACGACACTAAGTCTCGACAAGGTGCAAAGTCTAAGAAACAAAACAAAACATAAAAAAGGGGGCAAGGGGGAGAAAAAAAAAGAGGGAAGCACTGCCCCTTTAAACGTTTTAGTGCATATGGAGTTTGATTTCTGAAAGAGATCAGTTTAACATCTCCATAGAAACCAGCAACAGATTATCATCAACAGACTGAATAACTAGTCTAATAAATTAAACAGGAGGCATAAGATCGCTGGAAACCCGATTACTGAAGTTCAACAATATTCCCCATAAACTCTCGTTAACCGCCTCTAAGGTGGCTAACAGCATGGGGGAGGCGTCTCTCCTATTCGCCGGGTTCCGGGGAAAGAGACGTGGCCGCCGCCGGGAAGGAAGAAGTTCCCTCACTCTGTCCTGGAGAGGGTAGCGCTCCAGGGAGGGGCACACAGTAACAGCCAAAGTTTGGGGAGTGAGATCGCGGCTGGGGGTCGGAGGAGGTGGCAGGGGTCGCCCGAGAGGGCGCGGGTAGTCACGGCCGCCCCAGACGCACTTCCTCCCCGCCACCAGGGCGCAAACCCCGAGCTTTGCGCTCAGGCGCCGAACCGCCCAGCGCCCCCTCCGGGCACGTGGAGCGCAGCCCGGCGCAGCCCCCGGGGACCAGCTACCCCCCTCCTCACGCCCGGCGCAGCTGCTCCTGCTCAGCCGGGACAGCTCCCTTTAGGACGGCGGTGTGTGTGTGTGTGTGTGTGTGTGTGTGTGTGTGTGTGTGTGTTTGTGTGTGTGTGCGCGCGCGCGCGCGCACCGAGGGGGGGAAGCACCAATATTCCTCGGCAATCTGTTTTCCAGTCCTCTCGTGCGCTCTCACCGCGCGCCTGCATCAGTTTAGAGATTTCCTAAATTCACCAACTTCTCCTAGCTACTCCTCAGGGTCTTCTCCCACCCGCCCTGCAAGTGTACAGGGCGCTGGCGGGACAACCACACACAAGGAGGGCCGCGCCCCCTGACTTCGCTGGAGCAGCGATGCGCACCCCTAGTCGCCCAGCGATCCAGCTGGGTTTGGGGGACGCTTGGAGAGGGGTGCATTCGCCGCTTCCCGGCGGACGGGTCTTGCGCACCGGCGCACGCGCCGCACCCTCCCCCGCGGGACTGCAAGCAGGTCTTCGCCGCTCCCCGGCCCGCTTCCCAAGCTGAAGCTGGATCCGGAGAAACTTGTGCGCTGGAGAAGCAGCCCCCTGCCTCGCTTCGCGCTCCGCTCCTCCCCCATCTCCGGACCCGGGTCGAGGACTTGGAAGAAGAATCTGCGCCCACCCCCTAGAGAAAAATCTATTATTATGATCTTAATCTACGCCCCCAAAGTGTCCCTCCGGCTGTGATTGACGGCACATACACCTGTTCCCCTCGCGAAGGAGCTTCCAACTCTGGGGACAGACATTCGCCCCTCAGCTCCGTGCGGCCCAGCGCCCGCCCGCGCCCGGGCAGCCCCCCGCCCGCCGCCCCAAAGGGGCCAAGCCCGCACCTAGCCCTGCCCGCGGCCGCCCCCTCCCCTCCCGGGCCGGACTCCCCAGCCCTCCCGCTCCCGGCCGCGCTGGCTTCGGAAAGAGAGAAAGAACAGAAAGCAAAACTTCCTGGCGGCCGTCGGTCATCAGCTGCACATTCTGCAAATGCCACCGAGTAAAAATAAACCGGCTGCCGCTCCGCCCGGCCGGCTCACCCCGGGCGCACGACTCGGCCCCTTGCCCCGGGAGCTCCATGACTGTCGTTCGGGCCCGATCCCTCTGTCAACCCAGAGCACCCCCTTGGAGCCCGCTCCCTGACACTCGGGCAGCGACCACGCACTCATTTGCCGTGAAGCCTGACCTAAGAGACCTGGTGCCCCAGCCATTTCCCCTTTGGCGTCCCCTGCGCCCCGACAAGTCGCTCTTCTCTCTGTTCTCCACCAAGTGCCTATTTCGACCCTGTGCCCTTGGCTTCATGGTTCCTCCCCGAGTGCGAAGCTCCCAGGTAACCCTCAGCCCGCCTTGGGACACAGACCCTGCCCGACCGTCTCCCGCCACTGCAGAGCCCCCCGGGAGCGCATCGCTCCACCCGCCAGCCCGCCGGCCTGTCAACCCAGAGCCCCGAGTTCCCGGGCGCAACTTCACTCCCAGCGCAGAGCCGCCGCCGAAACTCCCCGGAACTTTTCCTCAGCCCTAGGCGAGCTCCGGCCAACAGCCGAGCGGCTGTGAGCCGGTGCTCTGACTCTGTGCCCAACGCTGCCAGCCTGAGCCCGGGGAGCTGGGGGTGGGGGCGCGAGTGACGAGCGCCACTTGCCGCGCCTGGAGCAGCGCACTTGAGATAAACTTCCCAGGAACAGAGGAAAAAGGGGGCGCCGCTCCCCCATCCAAGAAACCTCTTGCCTTCGTTTGCCCACCGACGCACCCCTTGACACCCTGCGCCTAGGCGAACACTGCCTACCTCAGCCGGCAGCACGCACACCCCGGCGTGGGGGCACCAGAGCCGGCTGGAGGCGATCTCCACCCACCCCTGCCCCTAGGCAAAGTCTTGCAAAGTCACCCCAGGCGCCCCTCACCCCTGCCTCCTTCTCTGCCCTGGAGAGCGCACGACACCCCCTCCTCGCAGTTGGGGGGAACGATTACCCGGTATTGGCGAGCACCTGCCCTCCCCCGCAGCCCAAAGCGCGGGGGCGCCCCCACCCTACTGGCAAAGTCCTGCACTGGCGCCTGGCACCTCCCCCCCCCGGCTCCCCGACCCCACCGCCCCCTCAGCTGAAGTAAGTGACCCCCGAGAGCAGCAGCCTTCCCCTTCCCCAGAGCCGCGCGCCCGGCATTCCCCGGGCCACCACCGGCGACGCGCTTCCCCGCGCCCCGGTGCCAGTGCTCCGTGCCCCCTGCCTCCCGCGCGGCCGGAGTTGGGTGGCAGCAGCCGCTCGCAGGCTGGCGGGCTCTCTCGCTCGCTCGCTCGCTAGCCCGCTCCGGGCTGCAAGCGGCAGCCGGGGGGGGGGGGGCTACAACGGGACAGGGGACTAGGTGGGGAGGCGCCCCAGGAGGCCCGCAGGGCTGGGGGCGATGGGGGGCCGCGGCGGAGGGAGCGCCGAGTCTCTTACCTGCACTTGGGGCGGCTTTGGGTGACTTTCCAAGTCCGGGGGAAAAATGTGTGTGTGTTTGGGATGGAGCGCTGTGGGCGCGCATGCGCTGCCCAAAGTTGCCGGATCCCGGATTTTTCGCTCCCAGTCTCCGCTCTCACCCGCTGTGATTATGGAATTCTCCGCGGCAGAGCCGGAGAGTGGGTGGCATGCAAAACCCGGGCCGGATCGTGGGGCCCGGCTCCGCTCCACCCTCACACCCCCAGACCTTCCCCTCCCGGATTCTTCCCACCCACCGCCCCTCTGGGCTCGGCGCGCGCGCACCGCGAGACGCGGCCTTCGGAGCCACATTTGAGCGCGCGGCTGCCTTTTGCCGCTCCAATACGTTTCCAGTTCCCTCCACCAAGTGGAATCGAGGCTTGGGCCAAAGAGAGGAGGGGTGGGTGTGCGTTACTTTTCACCTGTTCCAAACCCCGAGCGACCTTGAGTTTGGTTCCCACTTCTCCGCAGAAGAACTGGCTCTTTTTGTTTTTGCAAGTTAGAATGTCAGAATCGTCAAACTCCAAGGAACGTAATGTTCTCGTTGTTTGCTATCTTCTTTGCACTTGTTCTTTGCAAGGATTTTTTTTTTTTTTTTTCCTTTCAGCCTCTTGTGCACGAAATCCTTAAGTGAGCAAGAATGACCCCTGGGCGGGGATGGGGGAGGGGGTAGAAGCAGATAATGAACATTAAAACGAGTAATAGCGCAGAGTGAAAGCATCCACAAAGAAAGTAAAACAAGGCAGCAAGAGAAAGAGTGTCTTGGGAGAGGTACTCCCTGCCCCACGCTTAGCCTATAGCGCCTTGGAGGGAGAACTTTGAAACTCCATGGAAGAAACCCCCCATGCCCACCCCACCCCCTCCTCCCAGCTGGCCTGTGAGGGTCACCCCAGGCTTGCCTAGCTGTCAGCGTCAGTTCTGGGGCCCGCAGCCGCGACCCTGCCAGGCCACCTCCACTTCCTCAGCACTGAACTATACTGGTCACTGTCTCCCCTTCTGCAAAAGAAATAAAGTGAGGCTTGAAAGGGGAGAAATCCCCAGAAGATGGAGTGAGGGAGGATGATATAATAAATGAAGGAGGTAAATGATTAGTTGAATAAATGCATAAAAATGCAAAGTATGACCCATGGTTTGGAGATGAGCTGGACACGATGTCATTAATGAAGAAGTAAGGCCACGAGCTTGCTAGTTGGTGCTGTGGGCTGGGGGCCTGGGGCCTACTCTGCGTGAGGCCGGACACCCTGCAGAGTTGTCCCGGAAGCACATTTTCTAGGCAGCATCTCGAGTTTGCCTTAAACAGGAAAATAGTTGTTCCAAAGGCAACTGGGACAAAGCCCACGAGTGCTGAGGCCCTCTGTCCCTGAAATGGCAGAGCTTTTTCTTAGAGACATTTCTGTCCCCTAACAAAGTCATTAAACTTGGGCAAGAAGAATCCCACACCCATTACTGACCGGGAAAGAATCCAGCTAAAAACAAACAACAACAATAACACAACAACAACACAAACCCAGGTCCTTTCTACCTGGAATGGGCCTGGGGATCAATTCAGGGTTTGTCTGTACAGCACCCAGAATTGGGATGTGGTTTCATTTCAGTGTCTCCCCCCTTTACATCAGGCATTAATAGGAATAGAAGCATATCAATAATTAGCAGTCCCCATGGACCTCAGACCTATAACTCTCCATTTCTGTCATCAAAGGCCCACTTGGTCCTCAGGGGTTGTTGTCACCCACCAGCTAGAAGATCTTTGCTCCTGGTGACTTAGCAGAGCACTCCCAAGCTTGACCCCACCCTCCCGAAGAAGGAGAAATCCAGGCACCCTCATCTTTAAGGTGGTGAAGTCACTCTTTCCTTTTTGGTCTTATTGAGACAGGGTCTCACTATGCAGGTCAGGCAAGCTGGCCTCAAACAGCAATCCTCCTGCCTCAGCCTCCCAAGTGCTGGGATGACAGGCATTGAACACCACACCTGGCATTTAAAGTAGGTCTTCTAACTCTTGGCTTGGGGCTCTGCCCATTCCTAGGGTGGAGTAGAGACTTGATTGTAACTTAGACTTGGCATCAGATCCCAGCCACTCATCAGCTGGGCGACCTTGAATGAGACAGTTCACCCTTCACTGCCTCAGTTGCCTCAACAGGAAAATGGGGAGAATAATAGCTTCTATTGCCTGGATTGTTGAGAGGCTAAAATAAGGTAATGCAGGAAAAGGGCTTGACCAAGATACTGATTGATAAGTGCCAGTAAATGTCCCTCCACTTCTCTTTTCTTCCTGTCCTCTCTCTTCCTCCTCCTCCTCC